TGATTACCCCAGAAAGAGGGGAGAATGGGGCTCATTTCCTGCAAAACCCACTTTGCAACCAGATACATTTGGGATGTTACAGACAAAGGTTTCATTTCACGTAAGGAGCTTTACATCCTACGACTCCCTGGTGGGGAGAGGGAAAAGGGGGGGTGGGCAGAGGAACACCCCAGAAAGACCTCAGGGTGGAGGGCTGCAGGAGGGAAATCCGAAGCTTTGAGGCAGTGAGGACATCAGCTACCAGCCTTCGTCCACACTGGTGTTCCTGGAGCCCAGCACACGTGAGGGGTATCCGGCTTGCACTGTGGCCTCATGGGCACCCTAGGGATGAGGGTGCTGGGAAGAGACTCAGGTGAAGTGGGAGTCTGGCATGCACAGCTGCTCTGGCCTGCACCAAGAGACTCCACTCAGTCCTTTCCCTCCCTGATTCAAGCAGCAGGGAAAATGCATTATTTTTTCATTAAAAATTCATTTTGGAACGGATAGCCTTCAGAGATGTAATTAGCCACATTATTTCTCTCCATTAGCAGTCCCTGGAGTTTGCTGGAATTTCTTGTCCTTTTTCCTCTCCATTTCACTCTTTCCATCGCCTTTACAAGCTCGGTTGTAACACTTCTGCTCTCCCTCCCCCGACCATCACCCCGTGTTCTGTTTTTGGGCTGAATAACTAGTTTAGAATCTGGAGAAGGAGCGATGGCAAACCTCCTCCTCCCCACTGGGTTGTGGGAGCACCGTCCCCTGAGCCAGCAAGGGGTGCGGAGATGCCCACTTCGGCCGATGTGATGCAGAGACAGCCCGACTAGTGGCAAAGCTGGGTGGAGCTAAGAGATTGCCAGCCCCCTCTTCTCGCTGGGTGATCCCAAGCAAGTAACTTAACTTCTCTGGGCTTCGTCGCCTTCACAGGATGGTCAAGGCCAGCACTGACATTTGTAAAACACTTTCCCAGAGGTGGATAACAAGCACCCTGTGGTCTGGACATCTGCAGACAACAGGGGACTTGTGGGGACCAAATGATCAGTAGACAGGACAACATAAAAGACCCAGCCATGGCTCGGTAAGAGTCAGTTAGATGGTGTCTGGGGAGGCCTGGGCTGGAGGTCAGGGGTCAGGGAGAATGAGGGTGAGGACCCCTAGGGAGCAAGGCTCTTTCAGAGCAGAAGGGAGTTCACTGGGACTCGGCCTCACTGCCCAGGGCTGAGTGCCTCTCTTTGGCTGACTCTGGTGGCTTCTGCCCAGAGTTTCTCCCTTGGGTTATTTCTGGTGTGCATGACAGCTGGATGGGAGGTAAGAGAGGTGTCATCTTCAACTGGCTGGGGGAAAGTAGGGAGCCCATGAGGGCTCCCCAAGACCTTGAAAATGACCCAACATGCAGCAGATAATCCCTGGGCACCCCAACAAGCTCAGAGGACTTCAGGGCGGCTGGCTATTTCTCTGGGGAACTCCAGCTACCTCAGCGCTTGGAAGACAGCCCTCTGCATCCCGGCTCCCCGTTCCCTGCTTCCCTCACATTAGTGACACATGATGTGCAGCTGTCTCCGGCATTGTCAGAAATACCGTGCTCCACGGGGGCGAGGGTAGGAAACCTGCTGTGGGAAATCTAAACTTATCCTGGTTCCTCTCAATGAGGAGCACAGAGAAAAATACCGCTTTAGCATAAAAGATCACTGGCGCTTCGGAATGAAATAAAATCAAAACGTGTGCGATTTATCCCAAGAACTAGCGTGTCCCAGACTTCGACAGTCATGGGTAGGTGGCCTTTGAAGGGGTTCACGGGTAGTTGTTACAGGGACACCGTCACACTGCATTTCACAGACTTGTGTTGCATTGCCCTGGCCTCAACCCACTTTTATCACAATCCTGGTTCTTAGGCTCCAGGAGAAAGGCAGAGAAGCAGAAACTGGCTCATGGGATCTTTGAACTTGTATGCTGATATTACTACAAGCCTCTCAGAAACAGGCAGCACTTGACTCAAGTCTCGTCCAGGGAGATTGTTATGGACACGTCCTGGGCATCAAGAACAAAAATGGTGATGCTGAGGTTAATAACTACCATGCGCCGGGTGGCCCTGTGCTCCAGGCACAGGCCAGGCTCTTCTTCGTGCACATGGTTTTACCGACCCTTCAGTTCCCTGAGGTATTATCATACCTCTCCCTTCTTCTTACCCCCCTCAGGGGGGTAAGAGTTGGTGTCAAGGAAAACTCCCTTTGGGAGATGAGTCCCACCGCATGGAGGAGAGCAAGTAGTGTCACCTTGCCTGCCGCCAGGGGCAGTGACTGGAGACGTCAACCCACTAGTGGCTTACAGGTATCAGCATCGCCATGAAGGACACTGGTCACACAGGCACTGGAGGGAACGAGGCTTTGCTCATGTGAAGAGATAGATCAGGATCAACTTCAGCAGTGGACATGGGTCTCGTCCCACAGCCGACACAGGGATGTGATCTGCATGCACCCCTCTCATGCAGCAGACAAAGGACCCCATTCCCTCCCAGCTGGGAAGAGATACAACAGTGGGATTGGCCAGCTGCCACATGACGCACACACTTAGGCAGAACAAAGGCGCACACGTTGAATCTGGACCAGAGATAGACATTCCCACAGGAGGCCATAAACCCAGCACAGGCTGTGAAGACTCCCTGTCTCTTGGGAAGGATGTGTCCCAGGCCTAGAGCCCACTCCTGAGTGGCCAGGCAGAGGTGGAAAGACTTCATGCCTTTCCCAATAGGTGGGACCAAGGTCAAGTGGTTGGTTGGGCAGCATGGTCTGGATTTGAACCCGGGTTTTTTTGGCATCGAAACCCATGAGCTCTCTTATTACATGAGCCCTGCACTTCTGAGGATGAGAGGGTCTTCCCCTGGTACCTTCCAAGCCTCACCACCACTCTCCTGCCTCACCACTACACCCATCAGCCAGTGGACAACCAGATCCCCCGGGAGAAAAGATGAGCTTCGAGGTTTGCTCCCTCCAAAACTACTTTAATGTGAATTCTAGATCTCCCCACTGTTGGCCTGTACTCCAATACCAAGAATAATACTTGAAAAGCTGGGATTCTTGTGCCCTGAAGAACCCCCAAGTACAGAATTTTAAAGCAGAAAAACAGGGCTCCCATCAAGAAGGGGGAAATGCATAAAAGTGATACAGGAGAATCCAAAGAATTTAGAAAATTATGTAAATAAATGGACGTGATAAGGAACTGTTCAGCCAAGGAACTGTTCAGCCCTGGAGAAAAGAGATTGACACATGTAAATCCCTTGTAAGTATCAGCAAAAAGAGTCCAAGGGATCAAACACCCTTCTTGCTTCAGCTCAGTGTCCTGCAATTCCTTTTGAATATTAAGCTTCCATGTGGTTGTTCTGAGGCTTTTGTAATATGACCAAACAATCCTGGCTAATTTGGGCAAGGGCTATTATCTACAATTTACAGATAGGGAGCCAGAGGTGAAAGGAAGTTCAGTAGATGATCTATGGCCATCACGTTCATTTTCGAAACCACGTCGGATTTAGCACACAGATTTTCCAACTCCCTGCCTGATCTGAGCTTCTTAGGGGAAAATGGCAGTTGCTTCTCAGTTGTCGACATCATTAATGCAGAGGAACAGAGGCATAGATAATCCCAAATGGTGAGTAATGCTCACGCCATTTCTCCTGCTCTGGATATTTGCTTTGGAAGCTTCTTGCCGGCCTCAGAATAGAGGCACCTGGCTGTGGGAGGCCACCCCAACCTCATTCCACCACTCACCTGCTCAAAGCCACCCACCCCCTGCTCCATGAAGACCAAGGGGCATCAGATAAAGGGGAAGAGGCTATATAATGCCTTCCCAGGCTGGCACGGAGTGGCAGAGGGAGGCAGAGAATAAGGTGTTTTGATTTAAAAGGACCCCCGCCACGTAGCAAGCTAGCAGAACAGTAACAGTAAATGAGACAATGAATTGTGTCCACCGAAGTCTTCTGGATTCTGATTCATTATGTTAATAAGGGTGTGAGAGCCAGAGGTTGACTGTATTCTGAATTCATGGCTGGGGGACCCAAGGCTCAGAAGGGGGGAACATCCAAATTTAAGGTCAGAGTCCAAATTCCGTCTCCTAGCTCCTGATTCCAATTTAGTTGGTCTAATTACTACTATCTCCTAATGACTATGGAGGTTTTTGAGCCAGATGCCTCCAATGGCCTGGACCTGGGTAGACAGGCAAGCAATGCTTAAGGTGGAGAAATAGTGGTGCTGGAGCCAAGAGCAGCCAACTCCTCAAATTCATTCAACAAATATTGAGAACCTGCCAAGTGCCAGGGAGCAGGGATTGGCACAGGAGGAGAGCACAAGGGAAATCCGACATTGACCATGGCCTGAGGAACCCAGGGTTGGAGGGGAGAGAAGACATGTAATAGAAATCGTTGTAATACCTTCAGAGAGGACAATGAGATGAGATTTAAGAGAGCTTCATTTATTCTTCCATTCAATTAAATCATTCATTCAGTCATGCAGGCCCTGTCTTAAGTGCTCTGGATATAAAGATAGGAAAAACTGGTCTTTGTCCCCAGAAGCTACCATTCAAATACTGACTCTGAGTCACCAGGGAGTTTTTCAGAACACAGTACCCCAGGTCCCCAATCCAGACCACTGATTCTGAATCTCTGGAATTGACACTCAAGAAACCTGAAGCTCAGATTCTTGGTGTTATCATTCTGGGTTTGGGTACTGATCTGTGGGATAACAAGGGAAGGGAGCCCAGAGGAAGGACAGCCAGAGATAGGGAGAAAGGCTTTCTGGCCCACCTCACCCAGGAAGACTTCCTTGACCTGCCCAGCACATTGGTCTGCATGTCCTCTGACCCCAACCTCCACTGCACATCCCATATCTCCTGCGATATTTTTGGCTGACTGGTCAACTTCATTGGATTCTGGGTGTATCTTACTTCTGAAGCTGAGTGCTCCCATGTTCCAAGGTCATTGTGATGAGGGTTCCAGGGGCCTTGTGACGCACGCTGGCTGGTTCTGTTCAGGTGTGGGAAGTCAAGGAGAGGCCCAGTCCCCTCTGGGAATGCAACTCATCCCACAAAAGGAAGATCTCCTTGCCCTGCTAAATAAGCATCAGTCAGAGCTCCGAGTGAGCTCTGGTCAAAGGCTGCTTTGAAGACAGCCAGCAGGGGCCATGACCACCCTCTCTCCTGAAAACAGCCTCTCTGCCAGATGGTCAGCCTCCTTCATCCTGGTGCGTGTTCTTCATCAGCTCCAAGTCCCTCCCTCCCCAACTTCTGGTTTGCATTAGGGCTACTTTCCCCCTGTTGGGTTGGAAGGACTAGAACCCTGAGCTGGCCTAGAAGGTTGAGTGGGGTAAGTTGTACCTTGATCTGACATCAGCACTAACAACAGGACTGGAACACACAGGTCCTCTTGTTCCATTTCACCCTTCTCTCTAAGCCAGTTACCTTTCCCTGTATGTGATATTCTAACTCTAATGAGTTCTAGGTTTGCAAGTACAAGCTTGAAGATGCTGATAAATTTTCTTGGTGCTTTTGCCAACAATTTTGGTATGCTGCCACCAGGTGGCAGTAATGCTTTTGTTAGGAGGTGGTTTCCAGTCCACTTAATAAAATACATCTATTCATTAAAAGGCAGCCTCAGTCATAAAAATTTTCCACACAGTATATTTTTCAAAATCATAATAACTGATTATAATGACCTTAACCAATCTTGAATTTCATTAATCATACTGATTCAGAGAATGATACGTAAAAAAGCAGAAATGCAAAATGGACACCTATCTCCCTGAGTTTTATTTCATTTTTTTATATTCTTTTTTGTTGTTGTTGTTTCCAGTATTAATTTAAATTCTAGTTATTTAATATATAGGGTAATATCAGTCTCTCCCTGAGTTTTAAATGTTATTGCTTTGTTGCAGATTATTACCAGGTCCTGATTTCGATTTTCTTTATTTCTATCCATTTCTCTGAACTTATAGACTGATAATAATAAAACAACAAATGGCCACATAGCCTCTGTTATGTACAATGGTTCTAAATGCTTTATTTATAGTCCCTTATTCTCACCATAACCGTATACGAGGTAGATGATGCTATTATCTTCATTTTATGAAAAACTTGCCAGCACAGAGACTAAACAACTTGCCTAAAGCCCCCAGTTGGTATGTGGCAGAGCTGGTGTTTAGAGCCAGGCTGTGGATCCCATATTCTACGTCAGTGATTTTCAAAGTGTGGTGCCCAAAACTGTAGCATTAGCATCAATGGGGGCACTTGTAAGAAATGCAGACTCTTGATCCCCGGGTGATCTGAACCAAAAATGCTGGAGGTGGGGTCCAGTGATCTGTGTTTTGACAAGCACCCCAGATGAGTGTGATATGCAACTAACTTCGAGAATCACTGTTTTAAACCATTCATTTCATCACTATGTTATATGGATGATACACCCCCACACCCGATTGATAACAATCACCCAGGTAACTTTCAAGTTGCACATATGCGTACTCCTCCCCAATTTTGATATGCCTTCCCTCCTTGGGCCACCCTGTTCTCCCCTGGGTGAGAACCACTGACATGATGAGCCACCATACTGCTGAGAGTGTGTCTTGTCCCTCAAGGGAACTCAGGTGGAAGAGGCTGGGAACCGTAAGTAGCCAGTGACCTACTGGCCACTGGGGGCTCTGTTCCTAGAGGTGTTCAGAGCAACATGGCATCAAAAACCTTTCTGGAAAGTTTGCCTTATCCTCCAGTAGCTTTCCTATTTTAGTAAGAATGTTACAGAAAATCTTTAACCCAATGAAGCAGAATGGGAGGGGCAGGGGGAAGATGTATGCCTACAGCCTGGGCCTCTGGCAGGAGGAAGATGTAAGAGAAACCGAGCCACTTAGGACTCCTACTTCCTACCCCCCTCTCTAGAGGAAACATGACCAAGGTGTCCCCTTGGTCGCTGGTGGCGAGTTTTAACCTGCTTAAGCATACCATGAAGGTGGGAGATTGCCACAACTGCTCCATCTGGCAGCCCTCTTCCTGAGAGACCAGGAAAGCAAACGCTACTGCAGAGCTAACGGGTATCCAGCACCTCATGGGCCCTGTATCTCCCCTCCTGGATCACCGGGTAATTGTACCCAGATGGTGGCGCAGGGTGTTATTAGATAAGTGGAGCAAGAAATGGGGGAATATGGGAATATGAAGATGGATTTGAGAGATCATGGAATTGACAATCTCTCTTACTTTGAAAGACCCCAGATACAGGTTATGGTCTATGATTTCTGGCATAGACAGGTGGTGTGAATGTACTAGAAAAGAGAGAGAGGGGACCTCCATGTGGAAATTTTCCCTTTAGGCCTCTGCAGGTCAACAAGCTTCTTGTGTTTGTCCTTGGCTTGCTAGCAAATGTCTTAGATGAATGTTCTTGTGGTTGGCCTGTAGTTTGTTTAGGTTTTGCTCACAGAAGTAGTGGACATAGGGAAATTGAGTTTCCTGGAAGGAGAAGTCAGTGACTTTTTTTTTTAAGAGACAACGAGAGCAGGGGAGAGAGGCCTGAGAGAGAGTGAGAGAGAGAGAGAGAGAGAGAGAGAGAATCTTAAGCAGGCTCTGTGCTCAGCACAGAGACCTATGCAGCACTCCATCCCACAACCCTGGGATCAGGAGTTGGACACTCAACTGACTGAGCCACCCAGGCACCCCACAAGTCAGTGACTTTTTGTAAGCAAATTCAGCCATGGCAAAGTGGGGAGATGGCTAATTGTTGCAGGTAGAGGTCGAGAAATGTAAATCCACTGAGCACTCAGCCAATACCTTCTTGTGACGTTTCTAATTATCTCTGCCTCATTGTGCTAATGCCATATCTCTTAGGGTTTCTGTGCATATTACTTACTTTGCCACCTTTTCATTGCACTTGACCTTTTTTTCATATCTTTGTTCATCATTTATTTTTTAACCCTTCTATATGACATTAGATTTTAAGGTATGCCTTTTGTCATCAGCTTGTATCTGGTATGTTTTTTTTTTTTTTCAAATGGAATATGTATGTATTTTTTTTTCAAATGGAAAATCTTTGCTTTTTACTCTCCCTAGGAGCATGTCACTGGGGTTAAACACCCTGATTCTTGCACCAAACAGCTCTGGGCTCAAATCTCAGCCCTAATATTTACTGTATGGCTTCAGATATACTAAATAACCCTCTTCTGGCCTCAATTCCCTGATCTGTAAAACGGTGCAATGACCACACCTACCTCATAGGCGGTTTCAAAGATTAAATGATAAATATAAAGTGTTTAGAACAGTGCTTGGCACCTCATCAATGCTTCGTAGATGTTTACAACTAATCAGAGAATATAAGGCATTTATTTTCATAATTGATTTCTTTGGGTTTCTATCATGTTTTACGTTTTATGCTTTTCTTAACTCCTTGTTGTTTCCTGTATTATTTACTTTTACTTTTAAAGGGGATTAAAAGGAAAATGCCTTGTTCCTATAACCCTCTAATTTTTAAAGTAAAAAATAAAACAACTTCTTCTCACTCTATCCTTCACTCTGATAAAAAAAATTACATTTGTAGTTAAAAATTCTTCCTACAAAAGACACTCTAGGCCTAGACGGCTTCACTGGTAAGTTATAGCAAATACTGAAGAAAGAAATAATACCAATTCTATACAAATTATTCTAAAAAATTTAAACGTGAGAATACATCCCTGCTCATTCCATGAACCCAACACTACCCTGGTACCAAAATCAAAGAAATTGCAAGAGAAGAAAACTATAGATCAATATCTCGCATGAACATTGATGCAAAGATTGTAAATAAAATTTAGCATGCAGTATCCAATAACGTATAAAAGGATAACATATCACCAGTGGGCTTACCCAAGGGATGCAAGGCTGATTTAACATTCAAAATCACTCAATACAATTTTCCATATTAACAAACTAACAAACTAAAACCATATGATCATTTCAACAGATGCAGAGTATCATTTGAAAAAAAAATGCAATAGCCATTCCTGAAAAACACTCTCCGTGAACCAGGAATGGAAGGGAGCTTCCTTAATCTGATAAAGGGCAGCTACAAAAAAGCCGGCAGTTAACATCATACTGAATTATGAAAGCTTGAATCCTTTTCCTCTAAGATTAGGAACAAAACAAAGATGTCTACTCTCAACATGTTCACTCACCATGGCACGGGAGGCTCTAGCCAGTGCATAAAACAAAAAATAAATAAATAGAAGGCATCCAGACTGGAAAGGAAGAAGTTAACCTGCCTTTATTCACAGACAACATGATCATCTATGTCAGGGCTGGTAAACTTTTTTTACAGAGGTCTAGATAGTAAGTATGTTAGTTTTTATGTGCCATATGTCTCTGTCGCAACTACTTAACTCTGCTGTTTTAGCAAGAAAGCAGCCACAGATAATACATAAATGAGTGGGCACAACTGTGTGCCAATAAAGCTTTATTTAAAAAAAAAACAACTGGTTGCAGGCCAGATTTGGTCCATGGAGTTGTAGTTCACTGATTGTTGGCCTCTATAATAAATCCCATGGAATCCACAAAAGCCACTAGGACTAATAAGGTGGCAGAATACAAGATCAATATACAGAAATCCATTGTATTTCTATATATAGCAATAAATAGTTGGAAGTGGGAAGTTTAAAAACGACACCTTTTAAAACAACATCCTCCCCCACCAAAATAGTTAAGGATAAATCTGACAAAATATATGAATAGCCTATACCAGAAATCACAAAACAATGCTGAGAGACATTAAAGATCTAAATAGATGGAGAAGTAAACCATGTTCATGGGTCAGAAAGCTCAATATTGTTATCAGTTCTCCCCAAATTGACCTATAAATTCAGCACAGTTCTCATCAAAATCACAGCTGTCTTTACTGTCGAAATTGACAAGTTGACTAAGATTCATATGGAAATGCATTGCTAAAGTCCATCCATTCCCTTTCATAATTAAGGATCCCAGGACACAGCCCAACTTTGCCTATTCTCTCCTGCTTCCTGCCACAGGGCATGCGAGTGTTGGAGACTGAACATAGGTTTGGAGAACACGATGGCAGTCAGAGGGATGGAAGCCTGGCTCTGGTCTGCTCAGACAACCGTGTCTGTGCACTTGGGACATGGCATCAGGACAGACTCCCCCCACCCTCAAAGGTTAGGTCAACTCCATTGAGGGTTGGTATCTTCTTGGGCCCATGTGTCCTATTTTGGTTCAGAAAATAGAGCGTGTTTGAGTTAGTAAAGATGCTCAATCCATCCCTATCAAAGGTAAAATCAGTAGAAATTATCCCAAATCTTGTCTGTGGGCTCTTATGGTTTTGTTTCCAGTGCTAAACTGATCTCTAATAGCTTGCCTCTCTCTCGTGATCAGTGGACCAGAAGCATCAGAAATCTCCCAGGGGCCTGTTAGAAATGCATCACCCTGGGCCCCACCCCAGACCTTCTGAGTCAGAATCTATATTTTATGAAGATCCTCAGGTGACTCGTCTGCAAATTTGAATTTGAGTCACACATGTGCATAGTCAGGTGTATTCAGGAAGTTGGGAGTGTATATATCAGACAAGTCTAGTCACCTGCCAAGCTCTATCCATCCACACACCTTCATGTCTGCAATGTGGCATTTCAAGATATGCTTCTCTCCAGTAGAAGATTCCTGACAGGAGCTTTTACCTCCTGATTACTGCCTTATAAGCATTTTTAATTACTTTGCATGCAGCACACTCACCTCCCCCCCATCTCTCTCTCTCTCTCTCTCTCACACACACACACACACACACACACACATGCACGCACACACGCACGCACAAGTGAGCGCACACATCTCTTACATAAACCAGAAACCATCCCTTATGAGGAATTGTTTTACTCTTCCAGGAAAGGCAAAATGAAGCCCATGGGTGTGTTTAATTTGTGCTTATTTTATATTTTTCCATTATCAAAGCAGTACACATTATTACAGAAAAGTTAAAAAATACAAGAAAAAGGAAAAAAAATGTAGAATCCTATTTCTCAAAGACAATCACTCTTGCTTTTAGTGGGGATTTTTGGTATGGGTGGAGACTTTCTTTTCAGTTTTTTTTCCTACCAGAATCTTATTCATGTTAATTCACTATATATTAGAGTATATAAGGTGTAGCTTTTATAATATATGACTTAGGTATACAAGAAGAATAGCACATAGAAAGGATAGAAGATAGATACTGAAGTATAATTTTGTACTCTGCTTTTTTCTGTTAACATTTTAATTTTTCCAGATTATTATTCACTCCCTATCAACATCATTTTTTATACCTCACAATATTCCATTGAGTATATAAACTGTAGTTTATTTAACTATTCCCTTATTCCATAATGTTTAGAGCACATGCGTTTCTCATTTTGGTAAGTAATGTGCAGTGAAAATTATTGTGCTTTCAGCATTTTTGTAGAACTTTGCACTGATTTCTTCAAGATAGATTTCCAGAAGTGAGTCAGAGGCTCAAAAACTCCAGAGTATAGCGTTGAAAAAGCTCAGTCGTTTGAGCATCTGACTTCAGCTCAAGTCATGATCTCGTGGTTCATGAGTTTGAGCCCCGCATCCGGCTCCCTGCTGTTAGCGCAGAGTCCGCTTCAGATCCTTTGTCCCCCTTTCTCTGCCCCCTCCCCACTTACTCTCTCTCAAAAATAAATAAGACACTGAAAGAAAGGAAGAAAGAAAGAAGAGCACACTTAAAAGTTTCTTAACAGAGGGCTGAAGTGATTGTCCTTGCCAGGTGAAGAGAAAACCACCCATTGACAAGACGGAATGGGATGCCTTCTTTGATGAGAACGGTCTCTTGGCCAAGTCACGAGACTTCATATGTGTTAACATCCTGGAAAGGGTACAGACCCCAAGGCCTTGCCCTGGCACTGGGGGGCATGGGTGGGAAGGGGGCAGGCATGGAGTTTGGAGAGGCCCTTTCGGCAGGCACCCCCGAGGGCCCGTGACCTCTCACCCGTCACCCACCCCACAGGGTCTGCACCCCTTCGTGAGGACAGAAGCCTGGAAGTTCCTCACGGGTTACTACTCATGGCAGAGCTCAAAGGATGAGCGGCTCGCAGTGGACAGCACAAGGAGGTAGAACATTCCAGATCCTGTCAGGGGAGGATGGATGGCAGTGCGGGTGGGAGGGAGTGTCCACCCGAGCCTGACAAGTTCAGTCTTCTTGCCTCAAACAGATTCCTTATTCTGAGAGACAAAACCCCCATGTGCTCCTGACCCATGGCCTGAGCATAGGGCACCAGCACATTCCCACCCAGCTCCATTCAGCAGCCCACACACTGTCCTGCATGGGCTTCATTCCAGCAACTTCTCTGGCCTGCCACCATCCCATTGCATCCTTCCCTAGAGCCTGTGTGCCTATCTGAGCTGAAGATTCCTGCACAAGGGGCAGTGGGGAATAATCTGGGGCAGTAGGGGAAACTGAGGATCCACTTGAAGATTCATGCACAAGGGGCAGTGGAGAATAATCTGGGGCAGTAGGGGAAACTGGGGGTCCACCTGGAACACCGGAGTCCTGAGGGCCCTGACAAGAGCCTATATTAGTTTCCTGAGGCTGCTGAAACAAGGCGCCACAAACCGGGGGCTTTGAGGCAGCAGGAATGTGTTCTCTCGGTTCCGGAGGTCAGAGGCTCCAAAGCAAGAGGCCAGCAGTGCCACGTTCCCTTCAGGGGAGAATCCTTCCGTGGTTCTTTGAGGTTCTGGTGACTCCGGCTGTTCTTCCAATCTCTGCCTCCGTGGTCACATGTCACATGGCCTGCTCGCCTTCTCTCTGTCTCACCTTTGTGTATTTCTGTGTGTCCTCAGAAGGACACTCGTCCTTGGATTTAGGGTCCATCTGGATATTCGAGATTGATCTCATCTCGAGATCCTTAATTATACCTGCAAAGGCCCTTTTCCAAATAAGTTCACATTCACAAGGTTCGGCAGCTAAGGCATGGACATATCGTTTGAAAGGCCACCATTCAGCCCCCTACATCCCTAAGCCAGTGCTAATAATGGACACTAGACACTGCCTCATCCAACCCTTCCGATTCCAAGGCAGAGGTGCCAGTATTCTCCCCATTCTACAGAGGAGGAAACTGAGGCTTAGGTATAGTGATGTCCGCAAGGCCTGACCTTAGTTGCAAACACCCAGTTATTAATTTGTGGAGCCAGGATTCAGGAGCAGCCGTGGGAGCCCAGAGCCACAAGATTGAACCTGCCTCCAGGCTGCCCTCCAGGAGCACATTAGAGCGTGGTTAGGCGCCGGTTGGGGTGAGAAGGGGCATCACAGGTAGGGGGCGCTACATCCAGGAGAGAGTTGCGCAGAGTTCCTTTGATTTGCCAGGAGGAGGAGGCTGCCTCTTTCAGCCTCAGTTCTGTCTTTACAGGAAGAACTATGAGGCCTTATGTGAGATGTATGAAAAGATTCAACCCCTTCTGGAAAACCTGCACCGGAACTTTATAGAGACTCGGAATAACATCGGTGAGCAGAGTCGGGTGGGCAGGGCGGGGTAGAGGGGTGGGCTTGAAGCCAGTCCTGCCCCTTTCCTCAGTCATATCTGGGGGCCAATGATTCCCCTGGTTCCTAGGAGCTGCCTTCACAGGGGCCCGGAATTTTGCTAGCTAAACCTTGGTTAGTCCATCCACCATCTCTATGATGGGCCCTAGATGCCTAGCACCATTTTTCCCCTGGTGAGTGCTATTCCTGCTGCTTTGTCTTCATCATCTCTCCCCCTTGGGCCTTGAATTAGGCTGGGTTTTAATTGGACAGGACCATCGGAGTGGGATGGTGGGGCATTCCTGGCAGAGGGTCCTGCCTCATCAAAGATTTAGAGGTAGGGACACTGCCAAACAGCTCACAGGGTATGATGAGGGGTAGAGCCTCAGGGACCGATGTACTTTTCACAGCCCCCTCCTCCCTAGGGTGCCCTGGGTCTTACCCTTTGGGAGAATGCACTCATTCATGGACCCCCTGCTGGAGGCGATCGGGTGTCACCTCCCTGTCCCTTTTCCGCAACCTAGCCTATGACATTCAGAAACTCTACGACAAAGACCACCTAGGCAACGTCCTTATCGACAAGAAGAGACTGGAAAAAATCCTGCTCCTGAGTTACGTCTGCAATACCCAGGCAGGTGGGCCACAGCCCTGAGCCTCCCCACAGACCCCCGTTCTCAGGTCCTTCCTGCAATCCCTTCCCTGCCCCCAGCCAGCCCCTCCTCACTGCCCACCCCCTCCCCCCTCCAGAGTATCAGCAGGGCTTCCACGAGATGGTGATGCTTTTCCAGCTGATGGTGGAACATGACCATGAGACCTTCTGGCTTTTCCAGTTCTTCCTGCAGAAAACGGTGAGGGCTGAGCCTGAGTTCCAGGACGACCTGCCCACCACTCCCCAAACAACCCCTTGAGGTCAGGCGGGTGCTGGCACCCCCAGCCGTTTCCTCCAGCCCTCAGGGTCCCAGAGGAGCCCAGATGGGCAACACTAACCCCAGGGAGGTTTGGGGCAGAGGGCGCTATGTGTGTTACAGGCATTGGAGTTGAGGAGAGGGCTAGAAGGGTGCTCTGGGTCTAACTCTCACCAAACCTTGAAAGAATGTAACCGGCCAGTCCCAGGGAAGCCTTCTCCTGGCCACCCCCTCCCCAAACATGGCTCTGTCCCCACAAATCCTCCATGGCTCCCCATCGCCTCCAGAATAAAATCCAATAAATTTGGTCAGGCATTCAAGAACTATCTTTGGCCTTGTCTCTCGATGCTCTCTTCCCACGCCCTGCGCTTCAGACACAGCAGGGGACTCGGTAACCGCCCCCCCCCCCCTGCAGACGTACCTCACAATGATCCCATTGAGGGCTTGTGAAGGTGCCAGTCCCTGGAACAGCCTTGCTGGAAAACCTTTCCTTATGATCTGCGACAGGCTGTTCAGAATCTACCCTCACCCCTCTCTCCATCCCGGCAACAATGTGCTCCCGGCTCTTTCCTTGTCCTCATTGGTTCTGACCCACAGCTTGGGTATAGAGGCAGAACAGGGCACACTGCATGTGAGCCACATCTGAAACATCCCTGCACACACACACACACACACACACACACACACACAGGTGCATACACATGTACACACACAGATCACATGTACACATACAGACGCTTATCCGGACACATGAGCCCAGCCTGGAGCCAGCCACACACAGGGCATCCAGAACCAAGATGCAGTCAAGCAGGGCTGGCTCTTCTGGTGCCCCCACATGGAGAAAGGTTCTCTTTCCCTCCCTCCCACCCATCTTTCTCCCATCTTTCTCAGGAGCACAGCTGTGTCATCAACATCGGAGTGGGCAAGAACCTAGATGTGCTCAACAACCTGATCGACTTCTTGGACCCTGTGTTTGCTGAGCACCTAAGTGAGTGCACCCCCACCTCAACAACTGTACATCTCCCCCCACAGGGCAGGCATGAGAGGACACCGGGACCCAGTCCCCGGCATGGTGGGAGGGAGCCAATCACTTGGCTTTCTCTCCAGGCCCTGAGAGGAGGGTTCACCTAGATGGGGTTGGAATTTGGACAGTTGAAACTTCACCCCCAAACAGTCTCCAAAGGCAGTTGGAAGAGTGAGGGCCAAGCATCTCCTATTTCCCCAGTGTGTTGGCGCATTGGCGCTCTGCCCTCCGGGTCCCTTTGCTCTATTATGCACGCTGTCCTTCTGTTCCCTGACCATGGCCTCCCGGCTGACGCCCCGCTTCTCTCCTGCACAGGAGGGAAGGGTGCCGGGACCGTGCAGTCCCTCTTCCCCTGGTTCTGTCTCTGCTTCCAACGGGCCTTCAAGTCCTTCGAAGATGTCTGGAGGCTGTGGGAGGTGAGGTCTCCTTGGACGGAAGTGCTAGGCCCCACCCCTCCAGCATATGCAGCGGGAAACCGGTTTCCTTGCCTGCCCTTTATTACTGGCTCAGGTGCACTTACTGCGCCAGCGACCCTGCTCCCACCTTGTTGGAGGAGCTAAGGCATCGGCTTGTCCATCTGCTCATTCAGTCCCACCAGCACCTTCGGCAGGGCAGTCAGGGCGGGGCCTCTGGCCCATGCAGGGGGGAAGCCTAGCCTGCCCAGGCAGGCCTCCCTCTGCTCCACTTCCCCAGCTGCCCCTTCCTCCACCTTCCCCTCCATCCGAGTGCTATCTCCCTGCTGGCCCCTCACTCCTGGAGAAGGAGGGGCCCCCGAAAGGTCCAGTCAAAGGTGCAGTTCTTTGATCCCAGGTCCTTGGGCCATCGGCAGATGAACCTCCCTGGGACCAGACCCACCACCCACTTCTGCTCTGCCCAGCCCAGTCTTCAGCCTGGCATTTGATGCCGCACACGTCAGCTCCCACCTGCCTTTTCCCTCCCTCATGGCCTGTTAGTCTCCATGCCCATGTCCATGGCCACCCCTGGGCCTCTGGTGACACCCCTGGATCATTGATTTCTCATCAACCGTTGCTTTGCCAAAGCTCCCCTCAAATGCTACAGATAGTCACCTGGTCATTCTCTCACCCCCCCCGCCCCCGTCTCCTCCCCCCATCCCCACTCTGCGCCTCCCTCTCTCCCTTCCTCTGTCCCTCCTTCCTTCTCGTTCTCTCCTCCTCTTCCTTCCCTCCAGCCAATGAATTCCCTGAAGGCTTTTCCTCTGAGCCCCGCAGCAGCCTGCACCAGGCCCAGGACCCTAGAGAGAATGAGAATGAGCAAGTCAGCAGCGAGGCCCAGGAATGGCTGTCCCCGGGGCGGGTTGCCCAGTCAGGGGCGGGCCACCATCCAGGGTAGGCAGCAGTGCCAGGCCTCGAGGCCCAGGCTGCCCCTCCCCGGCTGCAGGTCCTGCTGACGGGGAAGCCGTGCAGGAACTTCCAGGTGCTGGTGGCCTACAGCATGCTGCAGATGGTGCGCGAGCAGGTGCTGCAGGAGAGCATGCTCAGCAATGACATCATCCTGGTGAGCCCTCCCACCCGCGGGCCGCGTGCCACTGGCACCCTGCGCCGTCCCAGCCTTTGCCCCCCCCCCCCCTCCGTAGAAATTGTGCTGTCCCGAGCACTCTGTTGGCACTTATTCAGAGCAGCCCATTGAAGCCACACAACAAGTCTTATGCAGAGGGACATAACCATCACTGGTACCCCGATTTCACACAGGAAGTAACTGAGGCCTTGAACAGCTCTTAAAGTCTAGGCTCACTGCCTCACAGTTAACCCTTTAGCCCTCGGGTCCTCCTGCGGCAAAAGAACCAAGAGTGTTCTGGCATTTCAAAAAAGCAGCTGAAGTCTGCTGTTTGATGTTTTTGAACCTCAAAAAACTCTAGGGTGGCAGCCCAGTTATAAAACAGGCCCTCCTTAGACATCCCTGAGTCACTCAGTGGGACCCTGGGACTCCCTTGAGCCCAGCAGGAAACCTGCATTTACCATCTCCCCCAAAGACCAAGTTCCGGTGGTGACACTTCGGGCACTGTGCCAGGCTGGTTGGGGAGAGATCAGGTGGCCCCGGTGACTGCCACAGGCAGCGGCCTTGTCCCTTGAAGTGGTAGGCAGCCACCTGTGCCCAAAGAGACCTGTTCTGTCCGTCCCAGCTTCCTCTCCCCGCACAGGCCTGCAACAACCTCATTGACCTTGACGCCGATATGCTGATCTCTGCTGCCTGCTTGGTTTATGCTGATCTCATCCAGAGAGATGTAAGTTACCCTGATTATCTGTCTTCTTCCTCCTCCTCCTCCTCTTCCTCCTCCTCTTCCTCCAAGGAACCTTCTCTGACTTCCCAAGCCCAGCCCAGGCACATGGCGGGCATATTCGGCTCAGAGACAGTCTGTGCCTTGTTCTCTGAGGTTTTCCATCTGCATCTCCTGCCTCCCCAAGAAGACTGTGTTGCCCGAGGACACAGCCCTCACCCCCTCGTTCCCTGTGTCCCTCCCAGTGGGTCAGGCACAGGACTGAGCTCCCGGAGGTTCAGTAGACTGTCACTAGCTGGACAAATGTGAAGAGTGAGAGCGACAGACCAATGTCTGTCTGCCTCAACCTGCCAGAACCCTCCTCTTCCCCAGGCTCCTCCGCCCTTAAAGGATTTCTTTCTCTGAAGACACTCACAAGGGACAGATGCCCTCAATGGACAGAAGGAAGGAGTACATCAGCCATGAAGTCCAACGGGGCAGCAGGGTGAGGGTGTAGGTAATACAACTACAGCAGAAACAGGCTCTGGAGTCACAGTTTGTGCTGGGCAGTGAGTCTCCTGGGGACACGGGAGGGCACAGAGGATTGTCTGTGCCTGATAAGAAGAGAGGCCCGGGGGCGGCGAAAAGGGCCACCACGAGGCTAGAGAGAGGGCAGGCCCCCCAGGGAGGCCTTGCGGGTCACAGCTGAGGGCCTTCCAAGGCTACGCTGGTTCCACATGCGGATGCAAACGTCATTACGTCATAAGGACGTAAACGACTTTGAGAACCTCCTTGCCTCCTGTGGAGGACAAATTGAACGTGTCCAGTAGGCCTGCTCAACCCCCACGACCAGGGCCAGAGAGGAGGGCCTGACCACACGGCTCTGCCCACACGCCCCGCCTGTTCCCCCTTCCTCCCAACGCGGTGGTCGCACACGAAGTTGTTTTTCCAGGGCCTCCCTGGCTGACTGAGGAAGGACACAGCCCAAGTCTCTGGCGAGCAGGTCATTCCCCCTCCCTGGTTTCACAGCCTCCCAGCCACACCTGCCCTTCTCAGCCTGGAATGCATCCTCAGACCAAACTCTTTTCGTCACCCCCACTCAGTTTCTCCAGAGAACTGACCCCTGGCCCAGGCGGATCAGGTGCTCCCTGGGGTGGAAGCTCACGCTGGGTGTCCTCCCCCAGAGTGTGCCACAGCCCTGAGCCCACAGCCCTGTCTGCTCTGCCCCGAGGGCAGATGCTGGAGGCTGGCTCCAGCTGGTCCAGGGTTTCCTGAAGGATGGACGGTGTCGGTGAGGGAGGGATGAGAGAGCCACTAGAATCTTTCTGGTCACCAAGTAGGCATCTCTGCTCTGACTGGGGCTCAATTTTATTTTATAATAAAGTGTTTAGGGGACGGCACAGAAGTGGCATTTGCCTTAGACAATGATTTCTGATGACAAATATCTTTGATATGTAAGAATTTCCCCGAACATAGATTTGTAGAAGACTCCTGCATAACCTTTATCAATAGTGATTGAGGTAGGTGATTTAGATGCTTACCTATGGGGAAGGAAGGTATCTTTAGCATACAAGACAATGCTTTTAGCATAAAAAAGGGTGAAGTTAGTTCTTTGTGAGCAGGGGTCAATAGCTTATCTGCTTAAGGGGAAGTGTTAAGAAAAACAGGTCTGTCAGGAAACACAATGTGTGCTCCCATAAATCACAAAAGAAGAAGTTCCTCAATAGGTTCCTTCACAGGGTGCAATCAGCATATTCAAGGCCAGAGTAAGTCACTCAGAATACTGATCAACAAAGATGTCTTGGGGGTCAGTGCTCCAAGCAGAAACAACTGGGTGGGGGTGGATATCGGTCGCCATCTGACGGTAAGAGTCCCTGCAACTCACCTTAATCTCAAAGGGAGTTCTTCCTCAATCTATGAGCTCAGAAAGGGCTCCCAACAGGCAGACATGAGGGTTGGCCAGAAGGAGCTAAGCCTGCAGAGGGTCTGGGGCTGGCCTGGTGCCCCCATACCTGCTCGGCAAGCGTGTTCACCTGCGTGCCTGTGCGCACATGCATGTGCACAGGCACCCCTGTCCGGGGGCCACGCCTTTTCAGAGGGGTTGATGGATGGGCAGGAAGCATCCACTGGTTTTGCGGTGCCCCTGGCCCTTGGGAGGAGGCAAAACTATCTTCCTCACTCTTCTCCAGCTGCCCCCTTCTGCTCTCATCCTGTCACTGTCAGTGACTGTCACTCAAAAGGCACTACGTCCCCAATTAATGTCTGGTCTCCTTCCCCTCAAGTGACAATCCCCATCCATGGCTGGTGCTGAGTCTCTTGGCTGCTGTATGTCTTCTGGAGGTGGCGGGACGGGGGTGGGGGTGGGGTTGCTGAAGAGCACAGCCCTGTTCCTCCCACGAGGGTCTTTTCTGCATGGCTGAAGGGCCAGCACTTGCCGGGCAGGAAGGCACATGGGTAAGTTCACATACTTCTTGGGTTCATGTTCCCAAGACAGTGTATGTAAGTAAGGGTTCCTGCATGGAATACCGGTCCCCAAGAACAAAACTGTGTTTTCATTTCACCAAAGAACCAGAGAAAAGGCATTTAGGCACACCAACAGGGACCTTGGGGAGAGTCCATAGACACAGGAGATTGTTTTCCTGATGCATCCTTTGGCCGGGCAGCATTAGTTGGCCTATGACTGTTGGTTGAGACATCTACACGGTGCCAGACATCTACTCCAAAACTAAAATTCTCGAGAACTCACTCTCTAGGCTGATGGGTTTTGAACCTGTCTTTAAAATCGTGTGGTTTTAAAAAAATTTTTTTTAATGTTTTATTTATTTCTAGGAGAGAGAGAGACAGCGTGAGCAGGGGAGGGTCAGAGAGAGACAGAGTGACAAACTCTGAAACAGGCTCCAGGCTCTGAGCTGGCAGTCAGCACAGAGCCCCATGCGGGGCTTGAACCCACGAACCGCGAGATCATGACCTAAGCAAAAGTCGGACGCTTAACCGACTAAGCCACCCAGGTGCCCCTAAAATCGTGTGTTTTTAAGACTACCATTACACAATGTTTCTCAAGGGCCCAGTGTTTGAAGTTTGGGTGGGGAGTCCACGGCCCTCCTCCCTGTGATCCCCCTCATGCCCCTCCTCGAACCTCACATCATTCCCTGCAGAACCTCTGGCTACTGGGAGCATGTTTGAAACCTCTGTTGGTCTTAAATATGAACTGGATTAAGTCCCGACACTGAACCGATCCAGGTTCAGATAAATCCAGGCTACGTAGTGATGGAGCAAAGGTCTTAGAAGACTTTTCTCAGCTCATCTGCAGCACCCCTGGCCAGATTAGGATCTTCCCGCTATGCTGCTATGGTATCACAGAGCCAGCCCAGGCTTCCCTTCACTTCCTTTATCACTTTCTTACCCAGTGTTATGTTTTTCCTAGTAAGGTCCACACCGGAGATAGAACTATGAGAAGCTTTGAAATCCTAGAGCCTGGGGCATCTGGCTGGCTCAGTCAGTTGAACATCCGACTCTTGATTTTGGCTCAGGTCATAGTCCCAGGGTTGTGGCATTGAGCCCTCATTGGGCTCCATGCTGAGTATGGAGCCTGTTTGAGATTCTCTCTGTCTCTCTCTGTCTCTGTCTCTCTGTCTGTCTCTCTCTCTCCCTGTCCCTCTCCCCCAGTTGTCTGGGGGAGACCCTGTCTCCTCTCTTTCTCTAAAATAAAATTTAAAGAAATAATAAAGGATTAAATAACAAATAAAGGATTGAAATCCTAAAGCCTAAGTTTCCTTTAGTGTAGAGACTGTGCTTGTATAAATAACTGGTTAATCCAACACACATTTATTGACTCCTTACTGTGATCTGCCTACTGTCCAGACACTGAGAATTCAAGAGTGGGGAAAAGAGACACACTCCCTGTCTCCAGGTCACTGAGAGTTGAGTGGGGACAAGATAATCACCTCAAAGAAGGTATAATTGCAAATCTGCTTCTGTGCTCTGAAGGAAAGGAACAAGGCTCTATGGGAGAAGATAACAATTAGTGGTGGTGGTGGTGACGTCAGGTGATGATGGTGGTACTAACAGTGATATTAGCAATGGTGCAGCGTTGGTGGCTGAGGTGGCCTCATGTAAGTTTTGGTGATGATGACGGGGACATCTGTGAGCTTGGTGGTTGTCAGTGATGTTCTTGGTGTCGGTGGTGTGGTAGAGATGGTGGCAGAAGTGTGATGTCATTGATGGTGGTAGATGTGGTGGCCGTGGTGATGTCAGTGGTAGCACTGGTGGCAGAGGTATAATATCAATTCTGGCAGTGATGGAGATGTGGCTGCTGTTGCTGCTGCTGCTGCTGGTGGTGACTTTCATGCTGTCAATAAAAACTTGCCAAGCATCTACAATGGCCACCTCTGTGTTGATACTGATGATGGTGAGGGTGATGATGGCACTCGATCATGATGGAGATGAACACAGTGATAAATGTGTATTCTGGAAAACCTAGTGCCAAGCATGCTCCCAATGAGCAAGACCTAAATATAGTATCTTTAGGGGTGCCTGGGTGGCTCAGTCAGTTGGGCAGCCGACTTTGGCTCAGGTCATGACCTCACAGTTCGTGGGTTGGAGCCCTGCATCAGGCTCTTTGCTGACAGCCAGCTCAGAGCCTGGAGCCTGTTTCAGATTCTGTGTCTCCCTCTCTCTCTGACCCTCCCCTGCTCACACTGTCTCTCTCTCTCTCTCTCTCTCTCAGAAAATAAATAAATAAATAAATAAATAAATAAATAAATAAATAAATAAATATAGTATCTTTAAAAGGGTCATAGTGGCCATGAGCATAGAGATAGAGAGCAAGGAGTGTCTAGGCCTTGTCCAAGCTTTCCAAAACCTGGTCCTGAGCCTGATGTGTAAGCTTGGATTGGCAGCGTTTCTTCAATGACCTCACCACCCCCTCTCCTCCCGTCATTCTTGTGGTTCATTCTCTCCTCTCTGGCCACCTTGAGTGACCCCAAGCCTACTCTGTTCCTGGAGCCAGCTCAGTGGCTCTCTACCCACTAAGAGTTTGCAGAGACAGGACGTATATAGAGCCAAGTTCTCGGGGCCCCAGAGCCTGTGTTTCAGACTCAGAGGGGGAAAAGAGGTGGAGGAGGCCAGCAGAGCCTTGGCCTGGGCTGAAGCTACAGACCCTTGTCCAGCGAGGGGGAAAGGCTCCCCCTAGCTGCAGGGGGAAGCGCGTCCCTAGTGGGACTGGGGTGGGGGGGGCGGGGAGGCGGGGCGGGGCGGGCTCCGGTGCCCAGGACCCAGCCTCATTGACCAGACTGGCCTGCGAAGAGGACAAGAGGGGAAGGAAGACAGCAAGAAAGAAGGGAACGAAGGAAAAAGAGAAGTTTTAGCAAACTGAGGGAGGGAGTGAAATAGGAGGGAATAGGAAGCCTCTTCCTCAGCTAACTAATGCCTGTCACTCACATCAAGGGCCACCCACAGAGCCAGCAGTGTTGGTTGGTTGAACGTGGCAAAGTGACAAATGGCACCTGTGTAAGGATCCTCCAGGCCACTGCTACTGGC